GAGCCTGCTTCTCCCTCTGCCTGCTGCTCCTCCTGCCTGTATGCTCTCTTTCTCTCTCTGACAAAAAAATAAAATCTTTAAAAATAAATAAAACAAAATGTACATCACAAAAATAACCAAATTTACTTGTTAATTGCATCTTTTTTTTGGGTACATGTATGTGAACTCTCATCAGATCTTTGTGGTCACTTTAAAGTCTTTCATCATTTACAATTATTGTTTTACGGGGCGCCTGGGTGGCTCAGTGGGTTAAAGCCTCTGCCTTTGACTCAGGTCATGATCCCAGGGTCCTGGAATCGAGCCCCTCATCGGGCTCTCTGCTCGGCAGGGAGCCTGCTTCCCCCTCCCTCTATCTCTGCCTACTTGTGATCTCTGTCAAATAAATAAATAAAATCTTAAAAAAAAAAAAAAACAATTATTGTTTTACTCTGATAGTTTACCAAAAAATGTCCATTCTCGAAGAGATTCACGAAAAAGAAATTTGATATATACTCTAGAATATAGGTTTTTGAAAACTTTAAGATCATAACACTGCACGGAGTGAGAATGCCTAAAACTCTAATGGAACACTGGGTGCTTTAATGTTGTTTCCAGATTTATCCCCTCCTCTTGTTTAAGTAATGTGTAACTTAGAGCAATCTTACATAGTGTGTCTTTCCAACAAAGACTGAAGCATTTATCTTTTTTCCCCTACTTGATCCCTCCAGAATTCCTAAGCTCTTATTAAATATTCTTGATTTTCATGACTATATACATATATTTCCTTAAGTTCAATGAGAATCTAATCTTCCTTGTAGCAGCCTGCCCTATGCACCTAGACCCTACCTCCTTTGATCCACAGCTGATAAAAGGGAATATACTTCAGTTTTGCAAAAACCTCATCAAATCCATAGAGAACAATTATACTTTGGTAGGACAATCTTTCTACAGTTCAGTCCTGGGTGACGAAAGCCTCATCAGATGTCAGATCTACAGCCTGGAGATTTCATCTTTTGGAAAAGACATCCCCAAAAAGACTCAACTCCATTGGAAAGGCCCTTACAGATACTGTTAACCAACCCTTGCACCATCTTGTGCCACCAAACTCCAAGGACTGATTCTTGGATTCATATATCACCTTTAAAGAAAGCACCAAAGCCTGACTGGACCTGCACACCAACTGGTGTCCTGAAAGACTTCCAAGAGTTGAAGCACATGACAGAGAAGGAGACAGCTTTTCCAAAATGACTGAACCAGGCCTATACACTTTTTTCTTGCTGCTGCTTCTTATTTCTCTCTCCCTTTTTTTTTGGAAAGACAATGATCTTATCCATATTCCTCAATCTACTACAAAAGGGGGGAACCTTTCTGACTGCTGGATCCCTCACCAAAAACTCTAATCTGTTCATAATGTCAGAGATTCCTTGGTCTTATCTGTAGGCAATTTTTCCAATGATCTGTTACCCTGCATTCAAGAGAAATACAAATGGGCTAACTCCTTTTTGCAAGACTTTTAGAAAAGACCCCTTTAGCATGGGACGGTAGCTCACAGAATGACATCCCAATTCTTCTAATCCCTGGCTTGAAAAAGGTCAATCTGGATATGCCAGCTAATGGATCTATCAACAACCATACTGTAGCTGGAGTCCTCTGCACTCCAACTGGTTTCATTTTGGCCTACAGTAGATGGCATTTCCCATGGGCATAAAAATGTTCAGATAGCTGCCAAACTGGAGATCAATTCTTTTTTTTTTTTTTTTAAAGATTTTATTTATTTATTTGACAGAGATCACAAGTAGGCAGAGAGGCAGACAGAGAGAGAGGAGGAAGCAGGCTCCCCGCTGAGCAGAGAGCCCAATGAGGGGCTCGATTCCAGGACCCTGGGATCATGACCTGAGTCGAAGGCAGAGGCTTTAACCCACTGAGCCACCCAGGCGCCCCTGGAGATCAATTCTTATTGGGACTTTTAACTGTCCCTGTCAACATCCATAATAAATCATAAACATGACACTGATTCACCCCATTAAACCTCCACAGTTACCTTAAAAAGGAACTTGCAGGAAGGACTATATGACTCCAGGTGTGCCTGCATATAAAGAGCTTTCTGCTTGGGCTAGAATAAGAGCCAAGGAATGCATCATCAGAAATCTCTAACTTTAGGACAGTCACAGGCAAAGCAACAGCAGTCCAACAATGATCCCTGAATCACTAGCTAAAGTAGCTCTGGATAATGACAGAGTCCCTGATCACCTGCTTGCTGAACAAGGAGGCATCTGTGCAATAGCAAATACCACCTGTTGCATATAGATAAATGTATCTGGAGAAGTAGAAATTCAATTACACAAGATCAGGAAACAAACCCATTGGTTACAAGAAATTTCACCTAATGACCCCTGGTCTTTTAACCTATTTAGCTGGTTACCTTCAGGTTTGGGCTCCTAGTTTTCAGAGAAAGATCTTAATGTAAAGGGGGAAAAAAATAACAGAAACCTCATTTAAAATAGAGTCAGAAGGCCAGAAAGGGGTGCTCTCATGCCCTACCAGTCACTGTAGCCCTTTGCAGATCCACCAAGAAGAGACTTACTTACCCTGCATTCCTAACAAGAAGCCTTCTTTACTACCCTAGAAGGATGAGGGAAGATTTCCTCCTTGCCTAGCAACACCCCAGCCAATAAAAGACCGTCACAACTCAGCCAACGCTATGAAATGCGTAAGCCTGATGATTCACAGACCTGTAGCCCTGGGGGAAATAACACATTGTATGTTAATTTTTTTTTAAAAGTCACTATGCTTCAAACACCCAGTTTATTCCAATGGACTTTGTTTATAACAGCCTCTCCCCATTTCCCTTCGTCTATAAAAGAGCATTTCTCTCATTTGTTCTGCAGACTTGCCTATGGTTCATGATGGCTTGCCTATCCCAATCTGCTATTCTGAATAAACCCATTTTGCTGGTTTATATATCAGTTTTACTGAAATAACTGGCTGTTTTATTTTCAAAGTTGACTTTATTCTAAAAGTGACCAAATAAACTTAAAAAGTAGGTTTGAGGGGCACCTGGGTGGCTCAGTGGATTAAGCCGCTGCCTTCGGCTCAGGTCATGATCTCAGGGTCCTGGGATCGAGTCCCACATCGGGCTCTCTGCTCAGCGGAGTGCCTGCTTCCCTCTCTCTCTCTCTGCCTGTCTCTCCGTCTACTTGTGATCTCTCTCTGTCTGTCAAATAAATAAATAAAAATCTTTAAAAAAAAAAAAAAAGTAGGTTTGAGTTTTTTGAAAATTAAAATTTTTACTGTGATAAACTATACATGTCATAAAATTGGTCATTTATAAATGTACAATTCAGTGGAAATAAGTACATTCACAATGTTTTTAAGGAAGTTACTCTGATTTGCATTTTTATAAAGTTTATTCTGATAATGTAAAGGATGGACTGGAGGAAAGGTTCAAGAACAGAGATTGGAAGGTACAGAAAAATGTAAAAGATTTAAACCTAATTTACTGCTAGACTGTTAAGCAAGAAGAGAACAGAGATAATATCTGATTTATTAATAATTATGTCCCCCAGGACCTAGTTCCATGCCTGGCATACTATGACCATCTGTTAAATGGATAAAGGATATTTAAGGTTCTATGATTCTGAGAATGGAAGACTTGCATTCTCCATAGGATGTAACACCTTAATGATTAAAAACATTTTTTTGTAACATAGCATAAGGAGGCCTAACAATAAAGGGTAAAAAATGAATGCCAGGAATAAGATTAGAGATAGGAGAGTACAAATAGGACTATAAAATTAACCCATGCAGGAGATTTTGGACTTCATCTCAAAAGCCTATTAGGGTATCTGGGTATATGCAACCTCACAATGGCAGGATGGAATAACAGTACTATTAGGGTCTATTAGGGTATCTGGGTATATGCAACCTCACAATGGCAGGATGGGATAACAGTACTGCTTACTGTAAGTTAATTTAAAGTACCACGCAGTATTTGTCCTTTAGTGACTGGCTTATTTCACTCAGCATGTCATCAAGATCCAGGCATGTTGCATCATGTATCAGAATTTCCTTCCTTTTTAAGGCTGAATAATATTTCATTGTATGTATATAAAATATTTTATTTATCCATTCATCCATTCATGGTCACCTGGGTTGCTTCCAACTTTTGGCTAATATGAATGCTACTATGAACATGGTTACAAATTAGTTGGTTTTATTTTTCAAGATTTTATTTACTCATTTGACAGACAGAGATCACAAGTAGACAGAGAGGCAGGCAGAAAGAGAGGGGAAAGCAGGCTCCCTGCTGAGCAGAGGAGCCCAATGCAATGGATCCTAGGACCCTGAGATCATGACCTGAGCCAAAGGCAGAGGCTTAACTCACTGAGCCACCCAGGCACCCTGAATTGGTTTTAATTTTATAAAATGTATTTAAAAAAAAAAAAGAAAGCGGGGGCACCTGGTGGCTCAGTCAGTTAAGCATCTGTCTTTAGCTCAGGTCATGATCTCAGGGTTCTGGGATGGAGCTCCGCACTCTTCCCCTGCTTGTGCTCTCTCACTAGCTGTCTGTCAAATAAATAAATAAAATCTTAAAAAAAAAAAAAAATTCAAATTCAAAAAGAAAAGGAAAAAAGAACAGAAACAGAAAACCCTAAGCAATTCTAAACTTCTAAAAGTACTGGTTCTCAGAAAACTTAAATCATCCAAGTTAGAAGGTAAAAAGTAAATGGAAAGGTGGTAATTAATAAGTTCTATAAAGGTCAATTTTAAACTGACAATAGAGAAAGCTAAGAAAAAATCTGATTTGTGCTAGAGAACCCCCTAAATGGTTCAGGAATCACTCACACCAAGTATATCTAGAAATAAGGATAAAGGTGGTGATAAAAACCAAAGTCTGTTTAAAAGGTAGACTGACACCCTCTTACATTCCCTCCACGGTTCCACACAGTGGAACAGGTTCTTCTCCCACCTCAACAGAATAGACGATTATACTATGAAAATGGAACAGGAGAGAGCCCGAGGGCAGTGTAGAGCTTTATGCTGAAAAGGTGGCTACAAGAGGTCTGTGTGCTATTACCCAGGCAGAGTCTCTGCATTACAAACTCCTAGGAGGCCTTGCTGTGCGGAGGGCCTGCTATGGTGTGCTGCGGTTCATCATGGAGAGTGGGGCCAAAGGCTGTGAGGTCGTGGTATCTGGGAAACTCCGAGGACAGAGGGCTAAATCCATGAAGTTTGTGGATGGCCTGATGATTCATAGTGGGGACCCTGTTAACTACTACGTTGACATTGCTGTGCGCCATGTGCTGCTCAGACAGGGTGTGCTGGGCATCAAAGTGAAGATCATGCTTCCCTGGGACCCAAGTGGTAAGATTGGCCCTAAGAAGCCCCTGCCGGATCATGTGAGCATTGTGGAACCCAAAGATGAGATACTGCCCACCACCCCCATCTCCGAACAGAAGGGTAGGAAGCCAGAGCCTCCTGCTATGCCACAGCCAGTACCCACAGCGTAACAGGGCCTCTCCGGCAGCTGGATCTGGAGACTGGATTTCAATCCGTGAAGACCTTTAATAAAATCTTTGAGAAAGATAAAAAAAAAAAAAAGTCATTAGGCATCCAACTCTTGATTTCAGCTCAGGCATGATCTCAGAGTCACGGGATCGAGCTCCACGTTGTCTTTGGGATGAAGTCCAAACTCTTCTGCGTGGGTTAATTTTATTCAAAAAACAAACAAACAAAATGAATGGAAAAGCTGTTTTCATATGTACTAATAATATGAAAAAAACCCTAGGATATATATTAAGCAAAAAAAGGTGTGGAGTTAAAGTCTGATACATCTTATGTAAGAGAGAATAAGAAATTATATTCATATTTGCTTGCGTTTGCATAAAAAAATCCCAGAATATACACAAAAAACTATAACTACTAAAGGAGGAGGGGGTGGAGTGGAGAATGGAGTCACAGGAACAGGGGTGGTAGTAAGTTTTCTAAGTACACTTTTTATGTTTGTATTACCTATTAAAAATAAAGTTAGGGGGCGCCTGGGTGGCTCAGAGGGTTAAGCCTCTGCCTTCAGCTCAGGTCATGGTCTCAGGGTCCTGGGATCAAGCCCCGCATCAGGCTCTCTGCTTAGTGGGGAGCCTGCTTCTCCTCTCTCTCTGCCTGCCTCTCTGCCTACTTGTGATCTCTCTCTCTGTCAAATAAATAAATAAAATGTTAAAAATAAATAAATAAATAAAGTTAGAGGGCAGCAAGGTGGCTCAGTTGGTTAACCATCTGCCTTTAGCTCAGATCATGATCTCAGGGTCCTGTGATGGAGGCCCGTGGGCACCCTACGTGTGAGCACGCTCTCTCTCAAACAAATAAATAAAATCTTAAAGAAATGAGCACGCTCTCTCTCAAACAAATAAATAAAATCTTAAAGAAATAATAAGAATAAAGTTATATAAGAATAAATAAATAAATAAGAATAAAGTTATGTAAGAATAAATAAATGAGCCTGGGTGGCTCATTTTGTTTTGAGCACCCAACTCTTGATTTTACCTGAGGTCATGATCTCAGGATCAGGGGATGGAGACCTGAGACAGACTAACCACCTAGCTGGGAGTCAGTTTCTCTCACTGTCTGCCCCTCCGTGTGCCTGCATGCCCACTCGCGTGAGTGTGTGCATGCTCTCTCTCTCAAGTAAATCAATATTATCTCTTAAATAAACAAATACATAAAATTAGAGGGGGGAAAAGTGATCCAGTTTTAAAGCCCTAAAAGAAATGGATTAGGTGACTTCTCAAAGTCTCCTCCAACTCTGGAATGCTCTCCTTTCAAGAATTTCAGCTAAAAATCGAATAGTCATTTATAATGATTTATACTGCGTCTTCCCTAGAACTCCATGCTCTGGTCATTTCTTTACACCTTTTAACTCTATTTTTCTAAGCAACTGCACTTATCACACTATACTGTTTTAGGTATTCTATCTTTCTTTCCCTATAAAATGTAAATTTCTTAAGCTTATGCTCTACTAGATCACTTGACAGAATAGTAATTTTACATAAACATTTGTTAAACTAGGGATGCCTGGGTGGCTCAGTCAGTTAAGTATCTGCTTTCAGCTTAGGTCATGATCCCAGGGTTCCGGAATCCAGTCCCATGTCAGGCTCCTTGCTCAGTGAGGAGCCTCCTTATCCCTCTGCCTGCTGCTCCCCCTGCTTGTGCCCGCTCTCTCCCGATCTCTCTCTCTGTCTGACAAATAAAAAAAATCTAAGGGGAAAAAAAAGAGTAAATATTTTATTTTAAAAAATTTATTAGGGGCACCTGGGTGGCTCAGTGGGTTAAAGCCTCTGCCTTCGGCTCAGGTCATGATCCCGGGGTCCTCGGATCGAGCCCCGCATCGGGCTCTCTGCTCCGCAGGGAGCCTGCTTCACTCTCTCTCTGCCTGCCTCTCTACCTACTTGTGATCTCTCTGTCAAATAAATAAAATCTTTTAAAAAAAAAAATTTGTTTAACTAATTACCAAGAACTTCCCATGTACCAGGCACTCTTCTAAATGCTTCACATTTATTAACTAATTTAATCTTCAAAGTAACTCCACACAATAGTTCCTATTACCTTTATTTTATAAATAAGGAAACTGAAGCATAGAGAGGTCAAATAATTTGTCCAAAGTCAGTGGCCAGTGCTAAAATATAAAACCCAGACCATGTGCTCTTAATCACTAGCTCTATTGTTTAGTTTTAAGGCTCCAAAACTAGGTATGGAAAACATTCTTCTTGATTGCCCTAACTTGTAATATGAAACTCCATAGTACAAAAGGCTTAATATCATCTAACAACAGTTCTTAAAGCGTGGCCCACAGACTGCCGGGATTCCCAGGACCCTTTAGTGGGGGGTCCACTACCCTTTGGGAGTCAAATCATTTTCATTACATTTAGATGTTATTTGGTTTTTTCACTCTCATTCTCTCATGAGTAAATAGTGGAGCTTCCCAGAATCTATACCATGTGTTATTACAGTAGACTGAATGCAGAAGGATCTATGAGAATCCGGATGTCTTCTGGTAAGTCAAAGACATTAAAGAGATTTGTAGGGACGCCTGGGTGGCTCAGTCAGTTAAGTGTCTGCCTTCAGCTCAGGTCATGGACCCGGGGCCCTAGGATGGAGCCCCACATGGGACTCTCTGGTCAGCGGGAGCCTGCTTCTCCCTCTCCCTGCTATTCTCCCTTGCTTATCTCTCTCTCTGTCAAATAAAGAAATAAAATCTTAAAAAAAAGAAGAAAAAAAACTTAAAAAATAAGATTTGCAAATATGTAAAGCAATGCCACTCTCACTAAATCTTTGTTTGGAAAATGGTTCTTTCATATAATGGACTTAAAACTAATATTTTTGGGGCGCCTGGGTTGCTCAGTTGGTTAAGCAGATGCCTTCCGCTCATGATTCCAGGGTCCTGGGATCAAGCCCCACATCAGGCTCCCTGCTCAGCAGAGAGCCTGCTTCTCTTTCTCCCGCTGCCTGCCACTGGGCTTACTTGTGCTCTTTCTCTGTCAGATAAATAAATCTTTCCAAAAAATTAAATAAAAACTAATATTTTTTAATGAATTAAATATATTTTTTAAAGATTTTATCTATTTGACAGACACAGGGAGAGAGAAGGAACACAAGCAGGGGGAGTGGGAGAAGCAGGCTTCCCGCTAAGCAGGGAGCCCAACGCTGGGTTTGATCCCAGGATCCCAGGATCCCAGGATCATGACCTAAGCTGAAGGCAGAGGCTTAACAACTAAGCCACCCAGGCACCACTGAATTAAGTATTTTTAAATGTTGTTCACTTTCAATACAGTAAATATTGATATAAACCATATAAACAGTGTTCTTTAGGGGCCTCAACAATTTGTAAAAGCATAACAGGTAACAGGATCTTGAGAAGAAAAAGTTTAAGATCACTGATCTAACCAATCTAAACTGTTCAGTACTCTTGGTCTCTGATGGTAAGACACATTTTCCCTACCTACCATATTTTAATTCAAAAGAACTGATGTAAGAAGGGTAACATAAAGTGAAACACTAAGCAGTAGGAGGCCAGGTATGTGCTTCTACCTGAGATTATGCTTTCTAATTTGTAACCCTATTTTGTAACATTTGTTTGTAGCAATACCTTTTACTATAAAACATGAATGGCAACCCTAAAGTGCCTCTGCATTTTACCAGAGCAGCCAGAAATCAAAAAAGATTTCTCAAGGAAACCTCAGATTTAAACTGTGTACTTCCACATCCCTTTATTAAATCGGGTATACTACTGAAATATAGAGACCCTAAGAGTTTGTAAAAAGACTGCCAACACTGATGTTGGCATTAACTCAGCCTGAAGCTTCATATGCTGGAACAATTCATCTTTGTTTACAGAAACAGAACCTTAATTTTTGATAAGCTAAATAGAAGTCTACTAAACCCCAAAGCAATTCCTTGAACACATCTTTAATGTCATTTGACATATTTTTAGGTGCTATGCTAATAGAAAATAATTTAACAGTCTCTTTAAACAAAACTAATTTTGCTCAACACAAAAGTGCAAAATCCTGGTCCTATTTTTTTTTTAAGGGAGAGAGCTATAAATTATTGGGTTCCCTGTCCCCTCCAGCATCTAGAGTACCCCTGCATACAATCAAATAATGTAGGTATAAAATGCTATTGCTAAACTATTAACAGCATAAGGTAAAAACATAGGTTCCACCATAGCAAAGACTAATACAGCTTTGGTTCCTAGTAGATTCAACCACCACTCATTTACCAAATATTTCTGAGTACCTACTATGAGCCTGGTATGCTAGGCACTGGGGAATATAATGAACAAAAAAATAAGTTTTAATCTTCATGGGACTTGCATTCTGTTGTGGGTAAGACACACACACACACACACACACACACACACACGCAACATTTATAAATGTGGTAAATGCTTTGCCACAGATTCGTTTTTGAAAGCTGAATTGTGGAATTCTAAAACCTAAAAATAAATAATTCATGAAGAGTTACATCAAGATGACATGGGTTCTACAGACCTTTACTAACGCATAAGGAAACTACAGACACTGCCCATGAAAACAAAGATCAATCTTTCATTGTCAAAGTTATCAAATGGCATTACTTGGCCTTAAAAGATAACTGACCTCACAGTTCCACAGAATTAAAAATCATGTAAACACAGTCCTTAAAAAACCATCTAAGAGGAGCCTAAAGAGACACAGCCAACTAAATGTAATGTGGTATCCTGAACTGAATGCTTAAAACAAACAAAAAAGATAAAAAGTAAGGAAATCTGAATAAACTATGGACTTTAGTTAATAATAACATATCAATATTGGCTCACTCATTATAACAAATGTAACATACAAGAATACTGAGGAATACTGGGGAAACTGGGTGGGGCTATGTGGGAACCCTCAGCACGATCTCAATTTTCTGTAAACCTAAAACCATTCTAAAAAAATAATGTCCAGGGGCGCCTGGGTGGCTCAATTGGTTAAGCGACTGCCTTCAGCTCAGGTCATGATCCTGGAGTCCCGGGATCGAGTCCCGCATCAGGCTCCCAGCTCCACGGGGAGTCTGCTTCTCCCTCTGACCTTCTCCTTGCTCATGCTCTCTCTCACTGTCTCTCACTTCTCTCAAATAAATAAATAAAATGTTTAAAAAAAAAAATAATGTCCATTAAAAAAAATCTAACATGACTTCAGGAACTATGTGTGTGTGCAGGGGGGATGCTGTCAAGACATAAAGTAAAAAATGAAAAGCCACCAAACTCTGCAATGTGAATTAGAAAATAATTACTTAAGGAATTCAAAGGAAACCTGCAGATACTGAAGTTATGATCACTACTCACAATCTTCCTATGACAGAGATTAATGGATTTTTTCATGCAAACTAAATAGCTCTGCATCACAACATAAGGCCAGCAATAACATCCCCAGAGTCCACAATAAGCACTTTAGATCCTATTTATCAATAATGACCAATACACTGTATTTTATGCATGGCACTGTCCTGAAATTGCTATAAAATACCTAGACTGGGATCACCCTCATGGATCTTACCAAGTTACTTCAAGAAACAAGCTTATACTTGCTTCAGGAAAATTTATAAGCAAAGAGGAAACTATATTTTTCCTTGGTAAGGAGGAAGGAGGTTAAGATTACATACTGAAAAGAGAAAAATGATTTTTCAGCTCCAACTGGAAGCAATTTTGCAACTAATGTTAACCTATTTTAATGTCATATATATTACTATAAACAGTTCAAAGTAGTAGGAAAAGCTCTGAACTTTTAAGTTATCTGCTTTCCAATCAAAAGAAATTGTCTTCTCTACAGCCTAACCTAAGGTACTTAGCTGTTAACTCAATGTCTGATGATGACTTGGGGGACTAACCTCCCAATGTCTGAATTTTAAAGACCATCATGAAATATGTGAGAAAAACAAAGGAGGACCATAATCTCTACACTGGCCAGTGCCAACTTTCATAATTCAGCATAAAATTGGAATCATCAGAAGTAATTTTAGAGAAAACCATCACAAAACTAGGATCTTGATATAATACAAAGTAAGCAACAGCAGAAGCCTGATCAGGTAAGATCATTCCACTCACCACATACTATGAAATATTAAGCAAAAAGGGTCATTTAGACGATACGGTATTACATACTGAAATCTAATTTAGATAAGTAGATGATGAATCTATTCTACTCTACTCCATTACTCTCTAGCCCAAAAGGAAATCCTACAAAACAAAGATGTTCGTTCTTCTCAGGCCTCTCACAGGAATCCTAAATATAAACTGGAAAACACTCAAAAGAAGTGGAATAATTAACATTTCTCCGGTAATTCCTGTTTGCACCACCATAAAGAGAAACAGACACTGCTTCATGTTGAAAGGAGAAAAAGGAGAGGTTAGATGTGAAAAATTCCAAGTAAAACGATCATGACATAGCATCCGGCAGAGACTGGGAAAGCATCAACAGTGCCAAAAGAATTGTCAGGGATCAAAGTCATGAGAAGAAAATGAGGTTTTCCAATAACGCGCAGCCTAACCCAAGAAGCAAAAATCACCACTGCCACCGCCACCCCTCTTCTTCCTCAACCACTCCATCCTTAAGTCGCCTCCAATTCAAACATGCACCCTCCATATCCCACACTAATTCCCCACCCAAGTGAAAACAATCCAAGAATTTCTACGACCCCCCCACTTCCCACCTCCCACCAGATCTGCACTTCCCAAGGCCAAGTCTCTAGGGAAAACAACGCCCTAATCCCCCCACCCTCCTTGTCCAAGGTTGAAGAGGGTCGGATCCCCGGAGTGGGGCTTCCCGGGGTGGGCCTTCATAGAGCTGACGAACTGGGATAAAAGCCAAGAATATGGGTGGGGCTCAAGGAAGGGGGCTACGGTTGATGAGGCGACGGGGACGGGAGAAAGAAAGGGATGGACAGCAGGCTGGGGCTGGGCCGGGTGAGGCCTGGGGCGGGGGGGGGGGGGGGCAGATCGACAGGAGAGGCCCGGGCTGCGGGGAAAGGAGGCACCGGAGCCGGGGACGGAAGGATCAAAATCTGACCGACGGATCAAGACGAAGAGGAGCTGGTGGCTAAGAGTGGCCGGCAAACACCAGGCAGCGCTGCGGGCTAGCACGGAGCGCGAACGCGAGGCAGGGAGACAGCCTTCGCCGACAGAAGGGCCGCACTGGGGGCGGTGCGGGGAAGCCGCGGCCAGCTGCCAGGAGTGGGGGAGCCGCACACTCACCGCTCTGCTCCCCCAGGAACACCAGCTTGAATTTCCTCAGCGGATTCCCGAAGTCTCCGCCCGCGGACATGATGGAGCCGGAGGAGCTGCCGCCGCCTCAGCCCAGAGACCTCTCGGACTGACGCTGCTCCAACCGGTTGACGAAAGAGGAGAGAGGAAGGACCGGCGCCGAGCTCTTTCGGACCCTTTAGGGCCCGGCTGCGGAGTAAGGCTGCAGGGCAGGACTCCTCCCCACAGACTGGCAGCGGTCGCCGCCGCCTCCCCGCAGAGTCGCCTCGCACCGAGCGAGGCCCGCGGCTGGGAAAGGAAGGATGGCGGTGTCGGAAGCAGCCAGGGGTGTGCTCGACGTTCCCAACACTAGCGCCGTTCCCTTCTCCGCACCCGGCACCGAAACTGGGGTGAGAGAAGCGGAGGGTGGCGGAACTGGAGCCGCAGACGCTACTGGGACCTCTCACGCGCAGCGCCTCAGCTCCCACAGCTGCCGCCGCCGCAGCCCAACCTGCCGAGTGCACGAGCCTCTGGCGCGGCGCGCAGCGAGCCCGGGCGCGAGCGTGCCGCCTCGCCGGCCGCCGGCGTACGTGCGTGCGTGCGCGTGCGCGCCACAAGCCCCCGCCTTCCTGGTTTAGCTTGTTCTCCCAGCTCCTCCAGCGCAGCAGAGACGAGGGCAGGTTAGGTTGCCAAGCGAGTCGGGAGACGCAAAGAGGAGGGCGGAACCCTGGGAAGTGATGTGGGTGGAATAAGGACCACTTACGTCACTTACGTGAGAACCAATCGGAGGAAGCCAAGGGCGGGCAGAGATGGCAGTGAGGTGGCGGCGCGAGAGCGCGCGCGGTCCTTGCGCGGTGGAAAGCGTCGCGCTGTGACTGCCATGAGAAGTGTGGCTAGTTTCAGCCTGAGGGGAATGGGGGGGAGGAGGCGGGGCTGGCACGTAGGTAGAATTGATCCCAGCGCTGTGAGGGTGTGGTCCGATAGCCCTAAGGTGTGTACTATATTCTTTTTTCCAGAGCCGTCAGGTCGGTCTCTCTTTCCTTAAGCCCGCCCTTCACCAGTGCACTAAGCCATCTACTCCATCTTTTTTCTTCTCGTAATTCCTTACACGATATTTTCCTAGGTACATTGTCCGCTGTTGTTCCCAGGAGTTTCATAACTACCAGAAGCAGAGCCTCTACATTTCTGCAGATGAGGAAATTGAAGCTCAAAGGAAGGAAATGACTTAGAAAATCCACAAAGCCATAAAGCGGAACCTAGGTTTTGTGTTGTCCCCCACTGAACCTCTGCAACCTCTTTATTGATAAACCCGTCTACTTTCCTAACCTGACCTGCCTTGGTCTGTTATCAGCCTTTGTTATTCTGATGTAGACAATTGTAGGTGACGCCCACCTTCCAAAGTGCTAGAAAAGGATTTAGACATCGTGTAAACCAAACCCTTCATTTCACAGATGGTGAAACCAAGGCCCATGTAGGAAAACAGCTACGCAAAAAGGTCAAAGTAGAGCCTGACTTTGAGCCCAAATGTGGGGGAAGGGATATTTTCAAGATCACCTTTTCATCCTAGAATGGTGCTTCTGAATATCTTATGGGTGGACCTCCCTTCAATAAGACATCTGAAGCACGTGCATTTTTCTGTGGAGAGGATCCATAACTTTCATCAGATTTTCAACCCAGTTTATGACCCAAAAAATGAAGGTAATGCCACAGCCAAGAAGAACCTAAGGAGACGTGGCAATTAAGTGTAATGTAGATATAACATGACAGCTCAACGTGGGTTTTAAGCTGATTGGTATTCTAAAAGAGAAAAGACTTTAGGCAAAAAGTTTTAAAAAAAAGAATATGGATTTTTAGTAATTACAGTGTGTATTGTTATTGGTTCATTAATTGTAGCAAATGTGTCATACATACTAACAATAATAAAGGTAACTGGGGAAGGAGAGGTTATATGGGGACTTTCTGTACTATCTGCTCAATTTTTCTGTAAATTTAAAACTTTAAAAAAAATACAGTATATTTTAAAAAGATAAAAGATTAAGAATCACCAAATTAGAGAATTCGGCATCTACACCTCACCATACTATGGGACAGCATCCAAAAAAGTAATCTCTGTCCTTGAGGAGGACACTTCAAAAAACTAGTATCAAAAAAAAGTAGGGGGTGACAACCTGGCTGTCTCAATTGGTAGAGCAGGTGACTCTTGATCTCGGGGTTGTGAATTCAAGGGCCATGTTGGGAGCAGAGATTACTTAAAAAAAAAAAAAGAAAAGAAAAGAAAAGAAAGAAATCTGTCAAAAATATTTCTGGGGGATGGGGTGCCTGGGTGGCTCAGTTGGTTAAGCAACTGCCTTCTGCTCAGGTCATGATCCTGGAGTCCCAGGATGGAGTCCTGTGTTGGGCTCCCTATTCAGCATGAGGTCTGCTTCTCCCTCTGACCCTCTTCCCTCTCATGCTCTCTCTCTCACTCTCATTCTGTCAAGTAAATAAATATTTAAAAAAAAAAAAAAAGAAATACTTCTGGGGTGTTTGGAGGGCTCAGTCAGTTAGACATCTGACTCTTGATTTCAGCTCTGTTCATGATCTTACGTCAGCCAGCTTCAGGCTCTGCACTGGGCGTGGGGCCTGCTTGGGATTCTTTCTCCCTCTCCTTCTGCCCCTCCCCCCTGCTCAAGAGCCCGAGCTCTCTCTTCCTCTCTCTCTCTCAAAAAAGCCCAAAAAACAAAAAAACTTCCCAAGTTAGTGATAAAATAAGACCTTACGTTTGTGTATAGTGTCTTACCATTCACATAACACATCTCTATATATTTGCTCATTATTTGGGAGTTATTATTTACTTAGCTACAGAAATGGCAGGATCAAACAAGTGCCTTCTCAAACCTGAGGATGAATAGCTAAACTAGAATTAAGGAGAGGAATAAATTAAAGGGAGCTTTCTCATGAAAGCTTAAAATACTATCTATTCTGGCCAATCAAGACAATAGCTATATCCCCAAACCTCCTTCTCTATCAAAATTTACTCATTTTGGTTCCTCTCAACCAAATGGCAAAAGGATTTTGGAACATGTATCTAAAATGAAAGAACAAAAAGAAAAAATAAACAAGAAATGAAATGATAAAAACCTGAGTCATGACATGGACATTTGTGTGTACATGTATTTTTTTAATGTTTAATTTAATTTAATTTAATTTATTTGACAGAGAGAGGGAGCACAAGCAGGGGGAGCAACAGGCAGAGGGAGAAGCAGCCTCCCCACTGAGCAAGGAGTCCCATGTGGGAATCAATCCCAGGGATCAATGCCCTGGGATCATGACCCAAGCCAAGGGCAGTTGCTTAACAGACTGAGCTGCCCGGGTGTCCGTTAATATTTGATTTTAAGGGGTGCCTGGGTGACTCAGTGGGTTGAGCCGCTGCCTTCTGCTCAGGTCATGATCCCAGAGTCCTGGGATCGAGTCCCGAATCAGGCTCTCTGCTCGGTGGGGAGCCTGCTTCCCGCCCCCCCCCCCGCCACCTGCCTCTCTGTGATCTCTCTCTCAAATAAATCAATAAAAATCTTTTAAAAATTTTTTGATTTTAAAGTAGTTTGTCAGGTCTGGTTAGGCCCTCCCCACCAGTAACCCAAAACCCCACCACACACAAAGAGCAGCCCATACCAAGAGAACATTTAAAAAGAAAACCTCTTGTAAACATAAGTGAGTGGGTATTTTTTCTTTCTGATGTATACCAGGTTTTCATTATATTTCCTGAAATAGCTTTTTTTTTAAGATTTTATTTATTTATTTGACAGAGATCACAAGTAAGCAGAGAGGCAGACAGAGAGAGAGGGGGAAGCAGGCTCCCTACTGAGCAGAGAAACCGATTCAGGGCTCGATCCCAGAACCCTGGCATCATGACCTAAGCTGAAGGCAGAGGCTTTAACCCACTAAGCCACCCAGGTGCCCCCTGAAATAGCTTTTAAAGTAACATTTGAGGACTGGAGCTATAATTACTTTGTACTTCCTCCAGAACTTTATCAATCAATTCCTCTCTGTTGCTTTGGTCTCTGTAGTCACCTAAACAGGTGATGCTTTTCCTATAATTTTGAAGAGAAATATGGTATAATCCACCTCTTACCTCAGATATTTTAATGTTTTAAGTTAGCATTTTTCATGGACATAGATACAGCCTCACTCTCCTCTGAAGCGGCAATCACATTTACCCAGTACTCCGTATAAGTCATATGTTTTGCCTTCAGAGATCTTATGACCTAAAAATTATATATCAAGTGCTACGGGGGGGTCATCAAATGGAGAAATTACTTAGGGGAAGGAGGAGTTAAAGAGGCCTTTTTCAAGAGCACTTTCACTAACACTTTCACTTCCATGGTTTTCTATACACGATTCTCTTTACCTTGAACACTTTCGCCTCCCTTTCTCTCTCCAATTCCTACTCATCCATAGGTATCATCTTTAAAAAGTCTTCAAGTAGACTTCTCTGTCTGCTTCTAACCCCACCAATAGTGTAAATACCCCTGCCTGTCCTCTGCTTGTACCTTCTTCTTCTTCATCCCTTGCTACTGCTAGTTGTCAGTATTCCCCTCCTGACTAAGTTCCATGAGGTCAGAACTAATGTTTTGCATCCCCAACAATTTCAGCATGCTTGACATTGTAAGCATGCAGCAGATACTTGCTGAACAAATGAAATAAATGGGAGGCATTATTTTTTAGCTTTCATCAAAGGATGAATGAGATGTGGGCATGTGAAGGTGTAAGGGCAAGAGCATTTTGGAGAAAGAGTACATCACTTAAAATCACATTATGTAAACTTGATACTACATTTCTTTTTTTTTTTTTTAAGATTTTATTTATTTATTTGTCAGAGAGAGAGAGAGGGAGAGAGAGCAAGCACAGGCAGACAGAATGGTAGGCAGAGGCAGAGGGAGAAGCAGGCTCCCTGATGAGCAAGGAGCCCGATGCGGGACTCGATCCCAGGACGCTGGGATCATGACCTGAGCCGAAGGCAGCTGCTTAACCAACTGAGCCACCCAGGCGTCCCTGATACTACATTTCTTAACACCACTTATTAAAAAGATGGTCAGAACAGACTTGTGACTAAAAATTCAGAGAGGACAGCTTTGGCAACTCCAAATCAAAAGTATCTAGAATGGTTTTCTTTAACCAATTTAAAAGGGATTGTTAATTTGAAGCCCAGGAGTGTTCCCAGGAAGCTACCACACGGAAACTGTATTATAGTTACAGCTTGTTGTTCCACCCAGAGAGAAACAAGCTTCTTTAGGGAGGACTGAGATTCCATCTTATTCCTTGTGTCAGACACTATTGGTTGCCTATCTAACAACACACACACGAAACACACGCACATCTCCACAATATATATTGGAAACGACAGATAATTTTCTAGCTTCCCTTCACTAAGCTAAAGACACCTAACTTGATCTGAACCAGAAGAAAATGTGCCAGAGACTTCTGAGATAAATTTGCTTTCCTGATGTAAAGAGGTAGATGAGGGCACACCGCCATTCTTCTGCCATTATATATGGTTATATA